GGAGTTTTCGCTTTTAACTATATTTTGAATCCAGACTAGTCCTACAGGACACAAACTACTCTGTTATTTAAATTATAGTTAATTATATACATCCATCAATCTTGCGAAGCTATGAAGTCTGCTTGGTTCATTATCGATCTCCATTATAGACGTAAGTTTGCGTTTTTTTTCACCGCTCAAAGAACCAGCAAAAAAAAAAAAAAAAAAAAAAAAAAAACATCTTGTGGTTTATGTTGCAACTATGCTGAGCGGACATTAGTCACAGTTTCGGGAAGAGAGGAAAGGATCCTGAGTGTTCGTTAGTTGAATGAAGTCAGTACGTTTAAACGCTCGACCACGATGAATGGTTAATACAACCATCAGCAGTTTCGTCTAACAAATTTGGCTCGGGTCGCTTTAACACATGGCGCGGTTATCAGCGATTTTCCAGCAGTTACAGAAGAGTGGGAAACAAGAATTAACAAAATATTAAGATACTTAAAAAATGATCCGCATTTTCGCCATAACATATACGCAGAGAACAACGTACTTGATCGATCATAACTTGCCGATTCGCCACTTCCATCTCTCGAGCTTACTGGATCTTCTCGACAATTGTGAAGCTTGACAGGCGTCCTGCTCCTCCTTGTCACTCATATAATGCGTTAATTCACTGTTGTTGTATTGTGTTTAAATTTCAGCCCCTGATACACCTTCCGACGAGAAAAAACTAATTGTTGTCCGTTGTACATCCTTGCTACACACTGCTAGCGGAGCAGCCATGTTTACATTGTAACAGCAACAAGAAAAGGAGCACGATCAAGCTCAAACATCGATCAGTCGACCACACAAATACCAACTATGAGCACGCATGAGTAGATGGCATTGCGACTAACTGTTGTGGTAGGATCCACCTAATTTGCATAGTGGAGTACCGACCATATAAATATGGTTGGTACCGGGAAGAGAGGAAGGAATCAAGAGATTCAACCAGAGACTCTGCCCGACTGCGACTCAGTCAACACATTCTCCAGGAACGGTCTTACCAGGAATATACAAAAGACTATATGTAAATATTGTGTACACTTTCTTGTTCCAATACATTTTGTTCTAAGTACATTTTGTGTTGCATTATTATTCCATGCATTAGTCAAGTTTCAACACTAACATAAATATATCCTCTTTCTCTCTCTCTCTCTCTCTCTCTATATATATATATATATATATATATATATATATATATATGTGTGTGTGTGTGTGTGTGTGTGTGTGTGTGTGTATGTGTCTGTGTTTGTGCGTGTGTGCGTGTATATATATATATATAAATATATATATATGTGTGTGTGTGTGTGTGTGTGTGTGTACGTGTTTTGTGTGCGTATATATATATATATATATATATATATATATATATATATATATATATGATAATCAAACATTGATGCATTTTGCTTCCGCTTCTTAGTTTCATGTTGATTCCCGGCTGTCTCATAATTTATATTTCAATGCATTATTCATACAAAAATAAATTAGTAAAGTTAATGAGATAAAATGGCGAATTCACTTCGCAAACTAAATTTTTAAAATGTATTAACCCACTCACCACAATTGTGTATCTGTTATCAATAACACTCTTCAAAAAAACATATATTGATTTGAATTATATTTCTTCGTCTCGGATGCTACCTAAATTTTACAAAAAAGAAAATATTTTACAAAAAAGTGTTAAAAATTAAAATTTTAGACACACTGGGTTGTATACTAATATTTTTGTTTTATTTTTTTTTTTAATTAGATTCCTCGACGAGGTTCGACTCACACGGCCATCATCATGTGAAAAATTTCCTGTTTGTTACTAGCAGTGAACTACAGGGGTGAATAACTGTCTCTGAAGAATGTGAAGTTTGCCTGTTGTTTTCATTTGTTTGTTGTTGTTTTTTTTTAACATTAATTTTTGGTCGGTCTTTGTATTGGTCAAAGGCCTTTTTCAAGTTATTTTAAGGAGAGCCTGGGAGACTAACGGGTCTCAGATTTACCTCCTTCGTCATTTTTGACAGCTTTATTGGTTGCTGGGAATAATAACGTTATATAAAGGGAAAGAAGTATGAGAATGTGAAAAAAGTTTCCGTCCGATGAAGTCCTAAAGGATGAAAATGTTACTATTATTTCATACTAGTGTCCCCAATATATATATATATATATATATATATATATATATATATATATATATATATATAGTATTACTATACGATATTTAAATATACAAAAATATCCTAAATCCTCTGTTTATAATAAACAGTATTAACCTTAGAAAACTAACCATGGGTAAGTAGTACCCAGCGCAAATTTTCCTATTAATTACAATTTTCAGTACCTGTTTTTCTTACCTAAATAAGATGTTTTTCTGTTCCTATTAATGTTAACTCAAAGTAGAAAGTTTGAAGTGCCTGCATGTAAATTTTTTCAAATAAAGATTTATATTTAATATTTTTTTTGTATATTTTCAAAATCGGGTATGATATACCCATGGTTAGTAGTGGTGTAACTTTAATTGATGGTTAGTGTTCTAGGGTTAAATTAAACTAAGTGCAGACAACAGAACAGCCACTTAATTCTACCATTTTCTAGCCGCACCCTTTACTTCGTTTCGGTTGATACAAACTTCAGTATGGATAACCCCAAAGGTTGAACTTGATTGCATTTTTAAATAGCCTTTTAATCTATATCGAACAACTTTTGCATAGAATCGATATTTTGGTAACTGATTCCCTGAAAGCAAATTTACTCCTGAGAAAAGCGCCTAAGAAATGATTCCCAAAGCCAGATTAATTTATCTAGATATCATTCAGTAAGTTTAATCTGTTTGGATCATTTCACCCCAAGCAAGGTGATAATGCCATTTAGACCCAAGGCGTAAATGCCACTAAGACCCAAGGTGATACTGGGAGGGGAAGAGAATGTGAAGACTTTAGTAAAAGAAAGAACAATAAAAGAACAGGTTTCAGGAAGATAGAAGATACCGATTTATTGCATTTAATCTTTTGAAGTTTGTAGTTTGTTGTTTGGAGTCGAGAAACCGAAAGAGATTTCAACAAGAGAAATGAGAGTGAAGAAACTATCAGTATAGAACTGGCGGTTACGTCTATCAATTTAAACAGTAAAATAATGAGACCTAGTTGCAAATCTCGTAATACGATTAAATTCATGCGGTCGAGATACCAACGAGGGAAGCTAATTACAACAACTGACATGAAATTATTCATAGAAAAACAAAGGAATGCCACGTCATGGCAGTGGGAAAGTGACTGAAGTCAAGATGCTAAGTCAGGACCGATAACCTTACAGACAATTTTCTGATATTGTCGAGAATCTCTCTCTCTCTCTCTCTCTCTCTCTCTCTGTGTCTCTCTCTCTCTCTCCCCTCTCTCTCTCTCTCTCTCTCTCTCTCTCTATATATATATATATATATATATATATATATATATATATATCCGAGCAACATTCAATGCACGGACGAATAGGGATTTTATAGCAAGATGGATTCTGACAATAAAAATTGTATGGCATGACTCAGTGAACCAACTTTCCAATCCTCTGCAGCTCTAAGCAATGTTTTTTTTTTTTTTCCTTTACTATTCCTTTCGGTCTGTAAGGTAGAGTTAGTAGTTATGTATTTTCGTCTGCCGGCCAGAATGTTCGAGAAATCTCATTAAAGAAAAGAAGATTTATTGAAGAAAATTTCTCGAATCTTCAGGCCGGCAGACGAAATGAATAAATATGTAGTGTGATAAATAAACGGAGCGTCTACTGAAATACGAGTAAACAGTAAAAATGATGGTTAAAGTGATAAAAAAATATGCCGGATTAATAAAAATCCATTATTTTTCTTTCTTTTTGTTTACATTTGGATACGAAACTGTGCGAATATGAAAAAAATTCGGATGGTCTATGACGAGAGAAGTTTCGCTTAAAGACAGAATTCGGCATTGGCTGAATGGTGGGTTCTTTCTTGCTTAAAGTGCACTGGATCTAACGGTATCTCCCTCTGTCGAGAGGGACGCAGGTTCGAATTCTGCCAGAAAGCGTAGTTTTCTTTAATAATATTTCTCGAACATTCAGGCCGGTTGAAGAAAAATAAAAAAATATTCTGTTTAATGAATTGAGCGTCTACTCAAATACGAGTAACCACAAGCGTAACGTGAAAAATATATATAGATAGTGATTTTGTTTTTACGACTTATCAACCTATTTACATCCATAAAATATTTTTCAGATTCTACATATATATATATAAGTAGACAGTGTAGTCAATACCGAGAGGCGACACTCTGCTTCATGCTAAACGCAATCATCAGTCCATATATATATAATCGACTCTCCTGTCGCGTTCGACGTATGAGGGTCAGGCCGATAAGTCCCCAGGAAACCGACATCCCGACACCGGCACATGAGATTTGATTATAGTGGTGAAGGCCTCGTGCAGGACCAGCCATACTTTTTGGAGGGACGAATACAGAAACCTGGTGCACCGAATGCATGTCACAAGGTTCCCAAACGACCCTCCGCAGGTTTTGAATTCAGAGTTGTCCTTCTCCTAGACCAGTTGCCATCCAAGGCTATAGAACCCAGTCTGTCCTGTTATTTTACCCATAGCTGGAGGGAGATGAAGAGGATACATACCTTTCCCAAGGGTATTAGCACATAAGTGAATGTAATGGATTCGACTGGAATTCGAACTCGGCTCTGCGATTCCTCAATCCAAGCCGCTATCCACTGCTCCACCGTGCCTCCCAATATATATATATATGAATCGGCATCAAATATAAATCAAATATGGTTTGGTTTCCGATAGAATGATAGGATAAAAGACAAATAGGAAACGATTGTATATTAGGCATGTTGCATCGAGAACTGTTTTTTGAAAATAAAAATAAATGCTTAGAACACTGAATCTCATTTCTTTCCTATATTTTTCACATTATATATATAATTTACAAATGGAAGTATTATCGATTCCCGAAACTATTCCCAAGTCGTCACTCATCTAAGTACTGACTAGGCCCGACGTTGCTTAACTTCAGTGATCGTAAGAGTACCGGTGCTATTATGCGATATGAAGCCCTACGAAGGACCAGGTGTAAGAGCAAAATTGTCAAATTGTTAGATTAAGCTTCAAACCGTCGTATGTTAGCAATATTTAAAGATATCTTACTAGAATTCTCTGCGGTTTTTATAACACTATTCGACTCTAACCAATAAGTATGTATAATTACTCTCTAAGCTTAGCAGAAAAATCGTGATGAAATCGATGTTCTTCATTAATTAATCATACCTAAGGATCAGAAGCTCATGAATGATTGAAAAAAACTTCATATATATATATATATATATATATATATATATATATATATATATATATATATTATTCAGGATCAGTTACCAACTTATTCATTATGATCTTCACCGTCTCTAACCTTCTAACTTTCTATCCTGGAGGAACAAAGCGCCTCAAGCGTTTCACGTACAATATCTTATGGACTGATTAGTATTTTTCTAATTGATCCATTTAGCTCTAAGTTGAAATGATGATCCCTCTTGCTGTTGTGACCGCCTGATACAGTTTCCCCATCCTATTGTTCCCTCTTTTTTAAGCTTATTCCCCATTCTCTTGATGTTTCTGAACTGGATTTTGACGATGGAAGCGAAGGCATGAACGTTGATACCATTACTAAAGTCCTGAATTAATTTTCCTCTCACCATTGCTCAGAAGGGAAGACAGTGGATCCAACACAAAACAGTTTTAACCTGCTCTCTTTTTAACTGAATTTTCAAGGGCTTTTAAGAATTTTGAAGGTTTTTTTTTTTAGCAATTCCTACGATAAATTGTGTCAAGATGGCTGAACGTCTTTTCTGAAAATCTGGAATAAAGGAACTCAATTTGTTCAGTTTTTTTTTTTCTTAGATATTAAACATTTTGTAGGATGAATAATTATGCTTTTTAAGATTTGGACAATTTTGATGTTACATCCGGTACGTGCTCAATATCTTGTCTACAAGAGTATTTTTTTTATGAGTACCGCTTGTTCTGGGGATTGAAGACGTTCTTTCTTTTTTTCTAATTTCTATGTCGCATATCCTCAAATATAACATAAGAATTATTCATTTAACTTTTTTTTCAGAAATGAGTGCAAACTTGGTCTTCGTGCCTTTGCGAAAACTCGAAATATTAACCAGATATAATTTGCATTAATATTTTTCAAACGTACAATACATTATTGTTTTCTGGGTTTCCAAAATGAAGAATTAAACCCTAAAGCTGAATGAAGCAGAAGGCGTTCTCTCATAGTTGCAAATGGTCAATTAAAAGAATGAATGCAAAGGAATTCTCATGAAACCCTCCCAGAAAGGAATCAGAAATTAAATATCAGAATTTATACAATTTCAGAAGCTATAGCTACACAACAACCGCACCTTCCTCGGTAAGACGATAAACTACATCCGCGTCCTGGGTAAGACGATAAACTACATCCGCGTCCTGGGTAAGATGATAAAATACATCCGACAGCAAGGCCTCTGTTCCAGAGGTTTTGAGGAGCGTTAAGGGGCATGAATCACCTCTTAATTGCTGGTGTTCGCAGGTCCACCCTGACTCGGGGTAGTAGCACTTGTTAGGGTCCCAGCTATGGGCAAATAATCAACCCCCAAACCGGGGCCAAAACACTATGAAAGTGTAAAAATAGGTTTTAATACCAGAAATACTTTTTAAAAATTATTACCAGCAATAAATCTTTGAAGAAAAAATTATTACCAACAATACAGTTTTACCAGCAATACATTTTTAAAAAAGTATTATCAGCTATACATTTTTAAAAAAGAAACAGCTATATATATTTCTGAATATATATATATATATATATTGTCAGCTATACATTTTGGAAAAAAATATTACCATCTATACATTTTTGATAAAAAATATTACCAGCTATGCATTTATTTTAAAAAAAATATTACCACAAATAGATTTTTTGTAGAAAAAAAATATTACCTGAAATAGATTTTTGAAGGAAAAGAATAATCGATTTTTTCATGCTTCTACGGCGGTTTTCATGTAGTTTGCGGTTATTTTCTACTGACCATAGTGAGAGCCTATAGCTGGCTGCCACGAATAGGCAGGAAGATTCTATTGGGCAGCGTGAGAGCCAATAGCTGACTGACACGAATGTTAACTAGCATGCAAAAAAAAGTCGATAGCTGCATTCCTCACAAGTGGGAAAAATTTAAATCTCCAATTGGCTCATTCGCTTGCTTAAACTTACTTCGCTTACTTTAAAGGCAAGGAAAGGCAAAAATATTTTAAGTCAAGTGATAACTATTGCTGTATAAGTCGTACTATTTTTGAATCAAGCACGAGCAATGCCGGGCCATGCTACTAGTGTTTGTATAAAATTAAAATTTTAGCACATTTAGTACAGTTTTATATATTCGGACAGTTCTTCCAAACTAGACTCATTAAAAAGTCTATATTAATCGCTCTTTCTAAAATGCGAATTTCTTTTCTCCGCAAATGTGTTTGCTGCAGACGTAAAACTCCCGCAATATATATATATATATATATATATATATATATATATATATATATATATATATATATATATATATATAAGATCGAAGCTTTGACTTTCAAGCATGTGAAAATATTAAGGGACGGAAAGCAAATCAAATGTATTTTCAGCGGTGAATCGTGTTAAGAGAGTCGTTATATTTCCCTTGAATGTTAACTCCAGTACATTATGTCAGAAAGGAACACTTTGATGCGGTGTAATGGTTAGCTTGTCTTGTTAAATCAATTACGACTAAGTATTGAATTTGATCTTCTCTGGTTGCTCCAGATTTTCGGTCGTATGCCACATGTATGCTACCCTTAAAAAATCTTTCGATGTGGTGTAATGGTTAGCAAGCTTGCCATTCTAGACCAATTACGACTGAAAAGTGAGTTCGATGCTCGCATCTAAGCTACGCTTACAAAATCACCATTAAGTTAGAAAGTCATATTTTATTTAAAAGATTAACATCTAAAATAAATATTGTTAATTTTGACCACGAATATGTAATTTAGCTGTAAGTGATTTGGAAGAATAAGTAATTATCTATCTACATATATGTCAAAAAGATTATAACCATTCTTGAATACAAATACGGAACAGCCAACCGGTAGAGGTAATAATCTTTGAGACAAGCTGACCATACCTCACAGAGAGACGCCTAAAATAATTTCTAATCAAAGTCTAGAAAAAACATAGAATCAAATGAAGATCGAACGTACAGCACGAATCAATTCGTCTAACTTCACACGTTAACAATTTTGTTACCATAATTACGCGTATTCTTGGATATCCATGAGCTTTATAATGACACTTAAAACCAGAAAGGTTTTTAAAAGAACCATTATACTGCTGACAAACGCATTTATTTTGGATATTTTTTTTGTCTTGTGTTTTCATGACTAATATCTAGTACCTCCCATATCTAGTGAGATAAACCTTATTCTTATATTACTTATGGTATAAAGTAGAAATCTGCTCCTCCTGTTGAAAGTTAAATCTCGTATCCTTGCAGAAGAAACCTAATGTAACCTTTGAACCCAGTTTATGATATGTGGACAGGGCCACATTCTTCAAACACCCATCATAGTGAAGGCTGAGTCAGTAAAATGTTCTCTTTCTAGCCGCATGTTTCACTTTGGTTCGGTTAATGTTTCCTTCAGTACGGAGAACAGCTCCAAAAATAGAACTTGACACCACCCGATTTTTTTTTTTCCCATTTACATTCCCATGATTGTGTCTGAATCTCTTCTGGGATTAGGGCTTATGTTGCAGTCGCTTACTATTTTGTAAGTAATCTATAGAATTTGGGATGTTATCTTAGGTTTGTATATATATATATATATATATATATATATATACACGTTTAAAAAAAACAAAACATTACGTCACCATTTTTCTACAGATCCATTATTCATGAATCAAACATATCTCTTCCACATAGATAAAATCAATGAAGATATATATATATATATATATATATATATATATATATATATATATATATATATATATATATATATATATAAAATATGCACGAGATATGCTTTAATGGAAAATCAAACCAAAACAAACAAAAAAACATCCTGCAGCCTCCCACTAACTTTTACACATTTTAGCGTCCAGAACGTTTGTCACACATATTTGTATATTATCTGTTATTTTATTACACGTAAAACGTATCTAAGCAATAAGAAATAGCCAAGCACAATATACCATTAATCTGCCACTCCTTGCTTTTTTATCATTTTTATATTTTAGCATTTTATTTTGATCTCTGACGATGCTTTAATAAAGTGAAAAATATTTGATTGATATCTGTTACCTACATTTTATTTTTATCCTATCCTATCCTATCATATATATATATATATATATATATATATATATATATATATATATATATATATAAATTAATTGTTTTTTTTTTAATTTAATTAATTAATATTTGCCGTGAGCTCTCTGGATTACATCTTCTTTGCAATTATCCATACAGATTACCAAACCCTTACTATATATATATATATATATATATATATATATATATAGAGAGAGAGAGAGAGAGAGAGAGAGAGAAATGTATACGGGTAGAGTCGAATGAATACAATGTATAAAAAAACAGATAGATAGATAGATAGATAGATAGATAGATAGATAGATAGATAGATAGATAGATAGATAGATGCAGTAAAAGAAACTGGAGCTAGTAGAGATATCCGATGCAATGTAATCGACACGCATGCCTCCACACGCCGTCCTCAAAGCACGCAACTAAAACACACCGACGCATTAGCGTGCGGCGTCAGTTCAAATTACGCGCACATCCAACAATGCGCGTCATTCACTGGCCCAACCCCGGGTGTACCAAGCAACTGCTCTATCATCCCTGTCGCAGTCAACCCTAGATCGGCTTCCCATTCTATTGAAGATGGGCAGTGCTGTGAGATTTCATTAACGTATTCATTTTTATGACAACCTTCGCGTCAGAATGTAGGGTGTGGGGAATAC